CAGAATATTTATTTTTCATCCGCATATGTGGAAGGCAGGAATGGAAACAAAATGCAGTAGGGAAGAGTAACCAAGGATGACCAGAGGAGCAGTAGATCTTTTGTTGACACTGAACTTAACTTTATGTGTCATTGCCTTTCCTGCATCATTCAAGACAGTCTCCGCCCCAAAGAGCTTACAATTTAAGGAAAAGAAGCGTGGAAGACATGGTGCCCTAAGGCAGGCAGCTTAGAGCCAGTGCGGTGCCATGACTGCAGTGAAGGACAAGGATCTGGGAGAGCCGGGTTCAAATCCCTGCTCTCCCATGGAAACTCGCAGAGCAGCCTTCAGCCAGTCACTCAAAGCCTAGACTGCCTCATAGGGTTGTTGTTTTGAGGATAAAATGAAGGAGGAGAGGACGATGTGACCTGCTTTGGGTCCCCACTGGAGATGGAAAGCTGGGTATAAAGATCCAAACAGAGAGCTGGTAGTCAAACTGAGCACCATTCACCAGGAAATTATCCAGGGGGAAGCACACCTCGTGTGCCTCTCCTATCCATTTCCCTGTGGGTTTGGGAAGATGGATCGGTGCCCATGATCAACATGCAACTTGCAAATGAGTCGAACGTGGACTCTGTCACGGCTGAAAATGCCTGAGCAGCTGTTTCATCTTGGCAGGCAAGAGAGGGGTTATGAATGTTGCAATCCGCCTTCCTGTATAGAATTTCCCTTCAAGCCAAGTTTTCTATTTCCAGACACCAAAATAATGACCCGTATCTACAGAATAACGGGAAAGGAAAGGTGTCATTATCATAATGTGCAGAACAAAGAGGACTAGGCGATGCGGAGTGGATTTCTTTTTTTGTCCCCGGACCATCCTCTCCTCCCCTTGCATTCACTATTCACTGGCACATTTCCTAGAGGTCACGGCTCTGCTTTGAAAGTCAATGAACAGACTGTTGCGGCTCTTTATTCTTCCCTGCCTTTGCTGTGGATTTTGAGGCTGAACCTTCAAATGCTCTGATTTTTTTTTTGAGGGGGGGCATTATTTATTCCCATCTCGTAAGCCCCTGAGCTCCATTATTAGAAGAAAGAGGAATTGTTTAGCATCTCCTGTTTCTGCAAAGAACCCTGATGCCCAACCACTGAACTGGGCATGACAGCTGGGATGAATTACATGACTTTTTTCGCATGGCTTTTACATGACTTTTTGTTTGGTGGGGGTGGATGCAGAAATGGTTTCAAGGGAATTCCACGGGAGCTGGTGATAGCCATGAGCAGAGATGGCCCTTAAAAGGGGCTTAGCCAAATCCACGGAGGAGAGTCAGTGGCTATTAGCCAAGATGACTAAATGGAACTTTCATGTTCAGAGTGCAGGGTGGAGGCTGGGGACCTATAATGGGGAGAGGGCATGCCCTGCTTGTAGACATCTGGTGAGCCACTGTGGGAAATAGGATATATGAGTAGAGAGACCATTGGTCTGATTCAATAGGGTTACTCTTATGTCCTTGCACAGTCTGACTTTGTGATCGGGGAGAACAATCTTACTTTTTCTAAGATGGAAATAATATGTCGTTTATCCTTTTTTGTTGCCTTGTGTTCTTGGTATTGCTCACACAGAGGGTGCCTGAGCTCCAGGATCTCTGCTGGTCTCTGATGTTCCAAATTGTCCTTCATTTTAGCCTTGGCCAGGGACAGAATGCAGCCCTCTTCAGGCATTATGACTTTGACTATCCAACAGCACATAAGGGGAGATTTCACGATGCACAATCTTTATACGCAGCCTTTGTCAACTTAAGAGCTACATTTGATTCTGTGTCACATACCTGCCTGTGGAACAAGCTAAACGTCACATGTCTAGCGAAAAGACGGTTAAAGCTAATAATGAACTTCTACTCTGAAAATTCACTTTATGTCAAACTAAACAATAAGAGATCTGCATCAAACCCTGTACCTATCCAAAGATGGCTAATGTGTGTATTGGAAGGACTGCAGGTAGTGCGGTCATGAGTGCCTGTATTATGATGATTGAACAGGGCTAAATTCTGCAATTAATTAAATACAGGTGAGAAACAGCAGCAGTATTAGTGTTATTACTTTCCTAACCAGGGCCATGGGTACTTGCCTGTCCCTGATGGGCCGGGCAGCTTGCTAGTCAGTCAGCCTGGGGGTTTCTCTCCTTTTCTTTATCTCCAAGATACAGCTTATTGTGTGGCTACTTGACAATGCAGGGAGCTAGGGCAGCTGCCCAGTTGCTGTTGCTAGCAATGAAGCCAAGTAGTTCTGAAGGAAGAAAGTTCCCCTATGCTGATATTGAGAGCAGATGGCTTACAATGTTGACAAAAATTCACAGTTTAACTGCCTTTCCTTTCCAGATTACAGTCTTCTTTGTTTGTGTCTCAGTTGCTGCCCTAAATGCGCAATGGTTTGGGCAAGTGACTTCAGATATTATGGCGGAAATGCACCTGACAGAGCAAAGCTATGGTCTAGGAGATGTCGGTTTGTTCTTAAACAACTCACTCGTACAACTGCGTGAACTGGATTCTGCCTACAAGGAGCTGACTCACAAACTGAAAATCTTCCATGGCTTTTCTTCAGTCTGTCATCTGTGCTGCATGGCATGTAATGGCTTGAGTCTCTACTATATGGCTACTTACCTTTCAACACTATAATCACATGGGCCATTGACCTAAACAATAGCTCAGGCTCTGCGGGAGTATGCAGTTAAGGGCTGTGGAAATGTGGATTACAATCATTTAATCCAAACTGTATGCTAGAATTGAATTATTGTAATCCACATTTCCAAGCCCTTAACTGCATACTCTCGCAGAGCCTGAGCTATTGTTTAGGTCAGTGGCCCATGTGATTATACTATATGGCTACTTACCTTTCAACACTATAATCACATGGGCCACTGACCTAAACAATAGAACACTGAGGTCACCACATGGCTAATACTGAACAGGCTACTTGTTCAGAAAAGTTAAAGAGGGAGACCTAGAAAAACAAGGACCAGTTTTTATTTTACCTTTGTAAGTAAATGTCAAGAACAGATAGAGGTTTTGAAAAGTGATAATATTGTATGAAAATGCCATAAGTGATCTTTTCCTTACTCAGAATGAAAGTTATGTTTTGAAATAATTGTAGCCCAGCTGCTCATCTAACTAGTGTTTAACAAGCTAATCTTTGAGAAAGTGTATTGTCTATCTTCTGAAGAGGTGGATGGGCTTCCTAAACAGGTGAACTGGTTTCTGGATCTGGATCACAGCCTTACTTTACATGTAATGGAAGCTAAATGTAGTTGCAGTAATGATGGTGAAGCGGTTTTCCTGACATCTTATGTTAAAAATCACCCTGTTTTTATTCTCTAACACTGCATGACTTTTAAATGTATCTAAAACCCTTTCTCCGGAAGTCACACTGATCACGCTGCTTTGAACAGTACTCACCCTTCAGTGGATATCAAGTGAGACCCTAACTGGACCACAGGCCTCCAGTTAGTTATACATCTAAAACTATCTGACCCTGCCAAATTTTAACCTAGGCATGAAAAATGTTTGCAGAGTTTCACTTATGAGGAAAACATTCTAGGTGTAAGGAACATACTTTAATGTTATGTTTCTCTGAAGGGTTTGTATGTGGAGTCTGGCCTGGTAAAAGAAATCATGTGTCTAACAGGATGAAGCCCAAACTGGATTAATTTTACTATGGATTGAAGACTCAGGATAGAGTTAGTTGATGTAGTAAAATATCTCTCTCCCTCCGCTACATAATTTACAGGACAAAACTGCCCTATCAGCTTTGGTTGGCCATCTCAAATATCGTTTCAAGTGTGCCCCTTCCCAGCAGGACAAATCAAGGAACCCCATATCAAAGCTGTGTATCTCAGCACTGCACTACAAGAAATAATTTTAAAGTAGCTCTGCGTGTATATGCCAATAAAAGGCTTGTCTGATTGACTGAGTAGCAAAAATTGTCAATTTATTAAAACTTACTGAGCAGGATGGGAGAACTTTTCAAATAAATAACAAGCATCTCACAAACAAAAAGTGCTCTCCATGATCCACAGAATGAGTACCACTGTTCCATCACTTTATAAGGTGCCTTACTAATTATTATTACTTGCAGATAAAGTCAGTTATTAGAATGAGAAGTTACTAAAGCCAGCAAATTAATAGATACCTGTAAGAAATGAATTTCTTTCAGAAAGCATGTTTTAAATATGCTGGGTCTCATTTCATCTTTTAAGTATTTATTTTCAATAGGTCAACTTAATAATTTCAGTCACAGCAAAAAGTCGCTAAAACCACATAGCTCTCTACAATGAGTGCCACATACCTTTGCTCAAAAGCGCAAGACAGCCACAGCCGTGCTTTAATCCCCACTGCTGGGAGCACACAGACAATCCATTTGCTGATCTGTTATGAAACTGCTGGACAGTAGCAGCAGGGGAGCCTGCGTAAACAAAGGCCTCCTCACATTTCAGATTTCCCTGTTACAGAACTGTTAGCTCCTGGTATGGCCGTAGGGCACTGGACAAAAGTATGGCAGGTGTTCCCTCAAATGCATATACTTAACTAGTGGTACAAACAGCTGGGAGGGAAGGTGGCATGGTGTAGCCTGATCTTATCAGATCTCAGAAGCTAAGCGAGGCCTGTGGTTGGGAGACCACCAAGGAAGACTCTGCAGAGGAAGGCAATGACAAACCACCTCTGCTTCTCACTTGCCATGAAAGCCCTGAACTGGGGTTGCCATAAGTCAGCCGCAGCTTCACACACACACACACACACACACACACATACACATACACACACACACACACAAATACAGCTACAGAATAACCAATCAACACCTGTGGTTGGTCTGCAGGTACGATATTATTAAATTAACAGAAATAGGGCCAGTTGGCGAGGCCTGTGGTTGGGAGACCACCAAGGAAGACTCTGCAGAGGAAGGCAATGACAAACCACCTCTGCTTCTCACTTGCCATGAAAGCCCTGAACTGGGGTCGCCATAAGTCAGCTGCAGCTTCACACACACACACACACACACATACACATACACACACACACACACAAATACAGCTACAGAATAACCAATCAACACCTGTGGTTGGTCTGCAGGTACGATATTATTAAATTAACAGAAATAGGGCCAGTTGAGTACCTTGAGAGAGAACCAGATTCTTGGTCTGCAAGGCAGGTTAGCAGTATTACATTGTAAAAATGCAGAAATGTGATAAATGCCAGTTCCAGTTCTGCAGCCTTGTTAATATTCAGTTTTTCACATTCCTTCCTATGGGACTGGCAGGACACGTTCTAGTTGACTGTCACTGTGACGGCAGAAAAGTAAAGCATAGTCCCAGTTTAGAAAGCTAAACGGTGCTCGTCACAGCATATGCTGTTCTTGTTCTTTTTTAAAAAGTTCATATTCACTCACTTAAGCCAGTGAACTTTCTTCCCCCAAAAGTAGTTTTTAGAGAAAGGAGTATATTTTACCAAAACAAAAAAAGTAGGAGTCCCAGCTTTCACAAAGTATCTGCAAAAAACAAAAACAACAACAGTGACTATCTTTTCTATTGCTCATCCAAAGTTTAAATTTGAGATCACCTTTTTATAATTGCTCTTCTTTATATATGGATATCTTGTTAGACACTGACTGTAGAGTATTTGCTTTTTTTAATTGAAGAAATTAATCAAACGCTTTCGGCAAAACATTAAGAGGAACTTCCTGACAGTTAGAGCAGTTCCTCAGTGGAACAGGCTTCCTTGGGAGGTTGTGGGCTCTCCTTCTTTGGCGGTTTTTAAGCAAAGGCTAGATGAAGAAGAAGAGGAGGAGATTGGATTTATACCCCACCCTTCACTACCCAAAGGTGTCTCAGAGTGGCTTACAAACTCCTTTCCCTTTTCCTCCCCACAACAGACACCCTGTGAGGTAGGTGGGGCTGAGAGAGCTCTTGACAGAAACTGCTCTTTTTCAAGAACAGCTCTTATCAGAACTAAGGCTTTGCCCAAGGTCATCCAGCCAGGTGCAAGTGGAGGAGTGGGGAATCAAACCCGGTTCTCTCAGATTAGAGTCTGCGCACTTAACCACTACACCAAACTAGATGGACATCTGACAGCAATGCTGACTCTGTAAACTTAGGCAGATCATAAGAAGGAAAGGAGGAAGGGTTGCATCAGTGCTTAGTTCTCCTAGCGCTTTCTTACCCGCCCAGGGAAATGCTGATCGCCACTTTGGGGTCAGGAAGCAATTTTCTCCGGGCCAGATTCCTGGAGGGTTTTTTTTGCCATCTTCTGGGCACAGAGCCAGGGGTCAATGGGGGTAGTTGTGAATTTCCTGCATTGTGCAGGGGGTTGGACTAGATGACCCTGGAGGTCCCTTCCAAATCTATGATTCTATGAAATTACTGTTGCCTCTTATGTCAGTTCTGCTGCCTGCTTTGTAATCTTAGGACAGAAACAGCTTTATCTGAATGCTACAATTAATAAGCTACCTCAGTAGGAGAATGAGTGCCCTGGTATGTAGAATCCTGAGGACCCAGCAGGCAGAACTGCACAAGTTTCCTTTTCTTTATCTTTAATATCTGATTTGCAACAACAACAAAAATGCAAGCAGTTTGCCAATACAGGGGCCATGCAGTTAGGTAACTGCCATTCTAGGGCTGGATCCACCATGGGACAGACTGAGACTGATTAACTTATATTTTTAAATGTTTACAATTTTATTGTAATTGTTACATATAAGAGGGTTATTATATTCCCCATGATGTACTTATTACCAGCAGGACCTTTTTTTTGAACCCATATGAGAGATTCCCCTTAGACAAAGCAGCCCTCTGACTGAGGAGTCTATGAACTCAGCTCCTTTGATACTGCACACTTGTCATTTTGTTGATCAATGAGTGGCATGCAGCTCCCAGCTCAGCATCTCACCTTTGGTGTTGCAATGCTTGCAACAATGTCGACTGGGTGCCTATCTGGTATATCTCTTCTCTTTCTTCATCCTCATAAAAAAGCTACGCAAAGTAACATGGGGAGAAAAAAGATTACCAAGTGCCACGAACACGCTTTATGGCTTAAGATTTTCATCCAGGTCATACAGTGGAACATCTGCAACTTGTTTTGGGTAGCATGACATTTAAAAGATTCTTGGCTATGACTGGTTAACAGGATTAGTTTGTCACTGCTGTTTATTTTACTTGGTTTGGGGGATCTGGTACTAAACCAGCAGAACAGTGATAGTTTGGGAACTGCTGTGGTAATTTGATTTCTGACACATTGTCGCATGCTCTCTTGTGAGATAGACAGCCTCCAAGATAACTGGAACAAATGTTTAAAGGATTTTCCAGACTTAGCTTTGTTTAAAAGAATTATCTGTGTTGAAGAGCCAGTCTGACACATGACAAATACCTGGTGAAATGCCACTGCTAAAAGTAATCCATTAAAAAACCCTACTTTCCTTCCAAACTAAAGTGGGAACCAAGAGATAGGATTACATAAGTGAAAGCAATAATGCGATAGAGTAACGGTAAGACCAAACAAGTATAAAAACAAACAACATAACATCTTCATGACTATAACTAAGTCCCTAAGAACCATATTTGCCTTCACAGATGCTAAACACACATGTCTCTCAGGAGGCTCTGAAATCTCTCTTAAACAGTTCAGTTTTACAGGCTGTCTAGAAGCAGAATAGGAGCCTTCTTTGATTGCTCTAAGAGGCTATTCCATTTCTCAAAGGTTCTCATACAAGCTGTAGCCGAGTATGGCATGGTGGGAGAAGTGACAGAGAGCAGGTGGCCAGAAGCAGAGTTGTGGAATGGATTCATATAGGGAGAGATGATTCTTCAGGTTATGTTGGCCCTAGGAAGTGAAGGGCTTGAAACGTTAGATCCAACACCCCTAACTGATGCCTGAAATATATCTGTAACCAGATCCAAAATGTGTAACCATTTCTGGGAACACAGGATCTCAGCAGCTAGCCTGTTATTAAATGGACTGCTGCATGCTGAACCAATGGAAGTTTTCAAACTAGGCTCCATGTATAGCACATCACAGTAGTTGGATCTTCAAGGTACTGTGGCATGGATCACTGTGGCCAGGTCAGCTGACTTAAGACTGGAGGGAGTAACTTCTGAGATACAGACAGAGCTGAAAAAAATCATTTTTTCCTGACAAAGCATGCTTTAATCCATCAAGCATGGGAAAAGCAATGACATCCAAACCACCAGTCTTGCCAACCAGCATCACTAGAGCACAGGTGGTGAACTCCTTTCTCTGAGGTATGCCTCTTATGTACTAACAGGTAATGTTCTAATATGAAATGTTTCCAACAGACAATTCTTGCTTCTTCCTATTTCACTGAATGACAACCAAAGCCTTGAAACTATTTTTAAAACCCAAACCAATTCTACAAGGAGCTCTACCAAGTGCTATTATTAAAGCTGTATCACAG